AATTTGAGAGAGGGATGGTATCAAACACCACATACCTGCTTCCCCACCCGGCCTCTTGTCATACATGAAATCCACCTCAACAGTATGCAGGATTCCCCCCACTCTGCATCTACAGGCTTCCTGGTTGTCTTCTGGAAGGGACAGAGATGGTTTTTGACACCACGGTGCCCTGCAGCAGCAAGTTCTTCCAGATGGCCTCTTCCCCTCACTTGCAACACAGCTGCAAGACAGAGAAGCAGCTGATGCTCCCTGTGAGCAGTCCCAGGTCTGAGGGGTGGCAACACTTTTTTTGGTAATCCCTGGATGCAAGAGACAAAAAAGGCTTGGGGGCCATTTCCAAATATTCATGCAAGCCATAGACCTCGAGGTGAGAGCACAATTTGGTCTTAAGAAGGGCTTACACCTGTACAACAGTCAAGTTGAATGAGTTCTTGACACTGTGGAGAAAACTGAAGTGATATAAGTGCACCAAACTTCAGAGAAGCGGTCAAGAGGGGTGGGGAAGAAATACCAGCTTTCTGCAGAGGAGCACCACATTAAAAGAAAGAAGTCATTAAACACCCCAGAAAGTTGTGAAACCTTGTGTAGGAAGCACTGGGCATTGATAAAGTCCTGACAGACGAGTCTGATCACATGTGAGGGAATTACAACAGCAGAGAAGGCAGAGAGAGATGAGTCTTATCTTCAATAAAACAACCGATGCCTTCACACAAAACAAAAACAAACAAACAAAAAATAACCACAAAAAAACCCGAACCCAACAAAACCTCCAAAAATCAAACTAAGCAGCTTCTTGGCTCTGAGCACACCGGAGGAATGAGACCTGGCTGAGCTTCCATAAACAAGGGTTGAGGAGAGATATATAGGAAGAGAAGACAGGAGAGGGAAGACGCTCCTAAGATCTAATCTCCTAGAGGAAAATTAAGCAAGATACATAAAAGCGCTCTGAGCATTTGTTCGGATGCCAAGGCTGCGATCCTGCACAGTTAAGCAGATGCTTAACTCGTGCCCCTTCATAGCCCTGCTGAAGTTACCCAGGCTCTTCACACACGTGTCCCGGCAGAGCCCACCGCTGGGAACTCAAGCCGTCTCCTCTGTAGCAGCAGACGAGTATCCAGGTGTCAGTAGCTCAGGAAGCCCAATCCAACCTTTTACTGTCCGCCCAGAGCACGACCGGCAGGACTGCAGGACCCGAGGCTGCACCCGCAGCCCGCACCGAGCCCGCTCCCCGCAGAGGGACCCTCCCCGCACGGCAGCCCGGCAGACGCCGCAGCCCTCGGCCGCGCTCGCTGCCCG